AAATAATATATAAAAGTAATAATATATATATATAAATATATATATATATATATATATATATATATATATATATATATATATATATATACATATATTCCGCAACTGTCCCTGCAGGGTCACTCGATCCACACACAAACCTCGAAACTCTCGCTGATCTTCTGAGCTTCCTCTTGCTCTTGTCGCAATCGCTTCTTAGCCTGCTTCCGGAACCTTTTCTCACTTTTCTCGTCGTCAGTATCACCGCCTGCCTCTATTTGCGACGCGTCTAGAGTTATGTTCTTCAACAGCATATCGAGCTGAGCCTCATCATCCAGATTGGTATTGACATTCCCCATGGTTCCCAAACTCCTGAGCTTCCCCTTCTTACTACCGCGGGTAGCCTGGTTCATATCTGCATCTAAAAAATCACCATCACTATCGCTATTATCAGTGTATTGCTGTGCTGCTCTGCGACCACGGATGTCTTTCTTGCTACCAGCACTGGCCGGCTTTGTACTAACACTGTGACTGTTATCATCACTGTCAAATGAACTATCACTATCATCGAAGACAATTGCCTGTGCTACCCGTCGTCCCTTACCTCTCCTACCTCTACCGCGTGTACTTTTATTTTCTAAAAAGGCTCCACTATCAACGTCCAGTGGTTCAGCCATATAATTCCCGTCCATCTCGTGACTCCTATCAGCTCTTGGATTCTCAATCCGCTCGTTACCTATACGGGCACCATCAATCGTCTGGTATTCTGTTCTTGGAGGTTTACGCTGAATACGCTCAATGGTTGCATCTAAATCGGCTTCAGGCGGAGTGCTAGGATATCCATACTTATCCGGATCTGCAGCCGCGTCTGCTGGTCTGAAGCCACTAAGCGACCGGCGTGCATAGTATCTATGTGCTGTGTGAAGAATAGGTCTAACTTGTAAGATACATACATGCGCATCTCTGTGTCCCACACTCCCTATTGTTGATGTAGACCCTAGATTGCGACTTACATTATATACAGGTCTAGAGTTGGAAGAGAACCGGGAACCTCCACAAACTAGCAGATTAATAGGCCGTGTCCCCATACGCTCTTGAGCGATCCGTGCAACTCTACTGCCCGCTTGGAAACACAATCGTATATCACTTGCCTTTATCATCGTTGTGTATACCCTGGCGGGACGCTGTGAAATCAAGAACTAGATCCGTTGAAGCATACACCACTAGGTAATAAGTACACCCACAACCACCCTAGCTAGAGGATAGTGGATTCCCTTCTCTTTTAACTCTCCAGTGAACCGGAGAGAAAGGAAGTATGTAAAAAAAATTAAGTACAGTACGTTACACGAATACACGGTCACAGAATGAATATTATAAATTTTTACAGCTACAGTGATACACGCGCTGTCGAGAGGTTTTGAAATTACGTCATCACTTTTTTTTCTATACTTTCGTCGAAATATATAACGCCTATATATATATATACATCAGCTGTTTGAATTTATTTGAATACTATGATAGCCGCTTTCATAGCCAACTACTGATTACACGCTATGCCTCTTTGCCACAGAGAAGGCTATGTGTGAATCCCATCTACCTTCTTTGTATTTATCGTGCGTAAAAATGTGTGTACGTACTTAAAAAATAGGAAGGGGATAAGTAAGGTTCGCAAGTAATTGGCATCCTTTGGTGTCGACCAGTCTGTTAACAGGAACATCTGCCAGAATGAAACCTCCTTTATTTGTATTATATTCTGACTATAGCGCTAGCAAAAACAGCTCGCGAATGCCATTTGAATGTGCCTGAGATACACAAGATTTTAAGCCAGTGTTGATCTGAATAGCTCATGGTGGTCGAATACTACGTAAATATGACGTTAGGCAAAAGACACTAGCGCTATTTAGGTATGTATGTATGTGTTCTAAATACGGCTAGAACACATATGACTTTGTCTACAAGTGTGACATGACGGAGGTTCCATGCGTGAGTATCTAGGAGAATCAGTCAGAAACAGACGTAAAAAAGGATATAAACCTGTATATTTTGAAGGTGACTTCGACTGTACGGAGATGCGAAGGGTGTTCCGACGATCCCTCGTACGGAGATGCGAAGTTTGTTCCGACGATGAGAGATTCATTAGATTTTTTCTGGTAGTAGCATAACGGTCTCGAGTTTCAGTTTAGTGGTTTGCAATCTACACTATTTAATATATCTTCCTATTGCAAATTGCCGAACTTCCGATAACTTCGTAGTGATGTTATTTAGAAAAATAATGTAAAACTCAATTACTACTATATAATATGTTAGAGCCAACAACTACTGCATCGTCATGTAAATTACAAGGGCCTTGCCCAGGACTCAAGACCTTGAAGGGCTTCAAGATTCTATCAGAGACCACGAATAAAGTGAAGGTACTTATTTATGAAATGCCGGCTATATAAAATGATTAGCTTGTGACTGCATTAGAATAAGGCCCTGATTGCGAGCGCGTATATCTGCTGCGTTGGCTAAAATAGTACAAAGATTCGAGCTATGTTTTAGGGGGCATAGATAGCTTGAAATCAATAAAAGAAAGCAATCCAAGCCAGATATGACCTTTCATATTTCCGGCCATAATCAGATTAGAAGATATGTCAAGTGTATGGCTGGTAAAGAAATCGCAAAGCATACTTTCTATGAACGATATAATATCTAATTTTCACACAAAGATAACGAGGAATGTCTTCCCACGAGGTAGACCTTTTACCAATCGAACAAACGGATACGAACAAAATTCGAATATTTATCACGATCTTCTCAACACTCACAAATCGGCTGTGTTTATTACTGTTTCATGAATAGTCACTTCAAAATGGTGGTTGGAACTTGGAAGTGTGTCAATCATATTTAAATTTTTTTTTACACACAAACACTCTCAACCTCAAGAGAGTATTCTTTAAATTCTAGTCTACTATTTGTGCTTGCGATATTCGAATTTGATCATCATATTTCCAAAATTTCAAAATTGGCCTGTGAGTCAGTGACTCACCGAGTGAGTGTGTGCAAAATTAAAATTTAGAATAGTTCGGTAGTTTGTGCGTTTAGCAACGGAGCATTTTGCTATGGTTTCGGTAATTGGATCAATCCAGCGTTTCTTGAATGGATAAATTTCATTGGGTTGAGATAGCTGAACGTGAAACTGAATAGCACTCATTGGCCAGGGCTATTTCATACTCGACAGAACCTACTTTTGTATAAGTTCAGCTAACTTTCAAGAGTCGAAGTCTCGAAGGGGTTAAGCCCTACAACGCAAGACTTGTGAATAGTTTGAAGCCTATATTTCATATCCAAATCAGGAGTCCAGGCCCCAGGGCACAGGCTGGCTTTGCAGGCCACCACTACGTTTATGAGAGTACAAACATTCTTCCTATGAATTATCGTAATATTTGATAGTGGATGAAGGCAGAGGAAATGAATCGCAAATGAGACAAACATTTCCAATAGGTAATATATAATATCTGACCCTTTCCCATTTTTCACCATTGATTTGCTTTGATTGTAAACAAAAGATCTCTACTTTGTGTACCGTTCGATTCAATTACCCACAACTGCAACCATGTTCGCCAAATCAATCATTGTCGCCGCTGTTCTAGCCACCTCAGTAATCGCCGATACCGCCCAAGTTCAAATTGTAAGTCAGAATAGCTAGGCCACAGAACAAAGAGCATCCTGCAGAATTTCTATCAGTACGGTCGTGCATTCCTTTCAACGCACCTGCGGTTAGTACGTAGATATCGCCTAGAGAGGGCATTAATTTTCGCCGCTAGACATATGTTGGACATTCGATTGAAGAGGTAGTTCTAATATTGTTACTGCACATAAGCGCCGTCTGTATGTTTTAATACGAACTCAGCATGCTGTATCGGTTCTCACCGGTTGAGTATATGCAGTGATTTCTAACTTTTGCTACCCTACAACAGGCAAACCTTTTCACGGATACCGAGTGTGTCAATGGACTAAAGTCTGAAGTTCCAACAACTGTAGCCAAGTCAAATGGATGCATTTTCCTTCAAGATCAAGTTGTTGTTGATGGGGTAAGTGATGTGTTTAAATATAGTAATTGCTTCTTCTAACCGACTCAGGTTACTTGATTAAAGAGAAGTCAGAGCTTCATCTATGCACTACCTACTACAAGGGGGATGTATCATAGTCTCGCTGGTTCTAACTTATGGATTGTTATGATTCGTCTGTCGCGGATTAGTTCCCCTCCAGCATGAACAGTGATTTCTCCTTCACCAAGAAAAGCGACGTAGAGAATGAGATTCTACTCTTCAACGATGGAGCATCATGCGAGGGATACCAGGCTGACGCGGTATGAATTTGGCGTGATTCGTACTCTACCGTAATTTATTCTTTTTGAGGATGTTCAAGTTTAAAAAAAACACAAATCGACGATTTATAATATAACTAATTTTACATGGCATCTTGTCTTCGACTAACAGAATGTGCCAGTCGCCTTCATTCGCTCCACCACACCCAACGAATGCGTTCCATGCTACCGATGCGGCAATGTCAAGTCAGTTTCGTTCTCCAATGTAGAAGTAACCGACACTTCAGGTAAGTATTCAAAAGCTGCATTTCGCATATTTAATAGATACCGTTCGATACGAATGGATGGCATCTGAATCCAATAGATATTATATTGCTATTTCATGTTGTGCTTTTTTAAAACGAGCTTCAACGAGTCCGCATGTTGCATGTGAATGTGACGATTAAACTCAACAAGCAATAAATCACAGCAACAAATAGATTTGCGCTGTTCTGAGCTTATACGAAGCATTCTGAATATCCATGAAATTTATTTAGTCTTGTGCTAGAACATGCTCAGCTCATTAAGCTTCAATCATATTGAAACAGGTAAATCAAATGCGGCCGGAACCGCCGTACCCTCATCACTACTCACAGTCGGAGTAATCGCTATGACAGGATACGCGTTTTATCGCTAAAACTGTCAATGATTGTTATTAGGATGTAAGATATTGAAACTTCGAATTAAAATATATTGAATAGAACCCACCCATCCATATGACTACACCAGTGAGTGAATATTGCTTACAAATATATGAACTTGCTATACTTGTACGAGATTTAAGTAAGAAATTCATGTACTTTTGTCATGTGTGTTGATTATTAGTAATTCTGTAACTTGAAGGGAGCTACGCTTGTGATAAAGCTGACCAGCGAATAATAACTGTGAGGCACGTGTGTGCCGAGGTGCAAAGTACTTCAAGCGCATGCTACACATATGTCAAGTTTTTCGACGGACTATTTTTGAAAGTTCGAGAACGCGGCTTCGAGATCTGAAACTCTTCTAACCATGGTGTCACTATAAATACGAGTATATGAGTTCTCAAAATTAGATTACACCCAATTACCATTCCAGTTTTTTTACCACGATCGTTCACTTCCCCGAACAGTACTTTCAGTTCGTCTCTCCTTTACGGCCTACGGGTGTAATCGATAAGTACTTTCCACGAGTGTCAAGTCGTAGAAAATATTTCATTAAGCCATGATAGCGCTTTGCGTACATATATTAACATAGAAGCTGTAAAAGTGTTTAAATGCACTGATGAATATTCACATAGCCACACACACACCCACACACACACAAATACACACAAACACATAGGCACACAAACACACACACACACAAACACACACACACACGCACATATACACACACAACAACA